TAATAATGAATGTTCCTCCGAGGACTTTTTTTGGGTTTGCATTCACTTCAAACACGGGATGATTATTACTAACATATTTCAGAGGAATGGGGAGCTGTTGCAGAGTTTTTATTTTAACAACAGAAGCTAGTAAAGTTCAGATTTTGCCCTCTCACTCACTCATTTGCTCTTTTGGTTTGTTTTTTTTTTTCCCTCAGCCATGCAGAACCAAGTCCAAATTTTCAAAAGAGCCCAGACCTCCTAAGTACAAAGATAAAGCTGGCCAGATAAGTATTTTTTTCAGAAGCAGGGCAGATTGAATATTGAGCTTATTTGCAGAATTAATGGTTTCCTGAAGTGATAGCCAAGCACTTTTGAAAATCTGTCTCCAATCAAGATTTGGAAAGTTTTTTCTGCTTTCCATCATCGTGCTTGTTGTCAGCAGAACTTCTCACTCTACTCCATGTTTTTCATAGAAAGATGGAATCACAGAACGGTTTGGGTTGGAAGAGACCCCAGAGATCATCCAGTACCACCCCCTGCCATGGGCAGGGACACCTTCCACCAGCCCAGGGTGCTCCAACCTGGCCTTGGGCACTTCCAGGGATCCAGGGGCAAGCACAGCTTCTCTGCCCAACCTGTGCCAGGGCCTGCCCACCCTCACAGCCAACAATTCTGTCCCAATATCCCATCTATCCCTGCCCTCTGGCAGTCTGAAGCCATTCCCCCTTGTTCTGTCCCTCCAGCCCTTGGGAATAGTCTCTCTCCATCTTTCCTGGAGCCCCTTCAGGCCCTGCAAGGCCACACTCAGGTCCCCCCAAAGCTTCTCTTGTCCAGCTGAACAATCCCAGCTGTGCCAGCCTTTCCTCCCAGCAGAGCTGCTCCAGCCCTTCGATCATCTTGGCCTCCTCTGGACTTGCCTCAACAGGTCCAAGTCCTTGCTGTGCTTCCAGCCCCCACTCCCTGGACTTACACAGGTGATGAGCGTATCGCAGGTGGAACACGTCACAGCCGTGGACGTGGTGGTAGAGGGTTTTTTCTATCAGATCTTGGGGTTCATATCCAGTTAATTCAGTGACCCTGGAAAAGGAACAACCCATAATAAACAAACAAACAAAAAAAAAAAACCCTCTAGGAATATTCAATTTCATCAACCCAACATTTGATTCTGCCAACACATCAGGTGCCTGAAAGCTGCAGGACAAAATGTTAGTTTTGGAAACGGAATCCTCATCTTCCTAAGAAAATAAACCCTCTGAGCCCTGCCAAAGCAAGGTGCAGCTACTCCTGCTGGTACACACGGGCAGGAAAAAGAGCTCTTTTACTTATTTCCACTTCGAGTTTTTGCCACTGCCACGAGAGAGCCCTTTGCACAAAGCGCCGGCCGAGGAGCTGTTCGTGAAGCGGTAAAACCACTCTGGTGGCCTGCTGAGACATTTCCATCTGCTTTTGCAAACACACAAGCGTGGCACTTGTGTTTAGTCCACAAGAGCTGTGAGCAGGGTCTGTGAATAAACTCACAGTGCCCAACAGAAGGAGGAAGCAGGAGATTATCCCGGCTGAGAACGTGGAAACACGAGGAGGTGCGAAGACGGCGAGGTAAGGAAAGCAAGGCTGGAGCTCGACTTCAGCAAAAATCATCCTCACGGGATGAGAGGTAGAAAAATGGAAGGCATTTGAAACAGCAGCTTCTCTGCAGATGTTAAAGAACCAGACTGTACAGGCCAGACCTGAAGAGTCAAACCTCTTGCTTTAAAATGGATTTCTGTTTATTGAGCTTCGTTGCTTGAGAACAAAACATCCTTCAAGTGCAGTGTGTGACAGCCACGACGTGGCTTGTTCACCCAGGGCTGCTGGGGGTGTTTCGTGATGGCCTGGGCTGTCTTCACTTAAAAGAGGCATTACAGAAATCCCTTGCAAGGCCATGTTTACATTTACAAGCGACACAGTCCATCAGCAGGTGAACCAGGGAGTAAAACTGTCACTGCTGAGGATCCACTGCATATTTAATTTCAGAGCTTTTCCTTAGGACTAGCTCTAGTCTAGGCGTGTGGACTGAAAGCTTTGGAAGAGCTGGAGTGCCCTGGGCTTGCCCTTGGAGGTTGTCCCTCCAGTTCAGATTGAAGGAATCCAGTCTAAATGCCTGAGGCCTCTCCGTGGTTTGAACTGCAGTGTTCTTTGGCTTCAAAAGGATGTCTCTGGTCTGAGCTCAAGCACTGATGAGGATGCACTGCACCAGAGACTTACACAGTAGTATCTGCAGAAATGAATACAGGCTCTCAAGCAACGTTTGTCAATGGGGGATTGCAGATAACGCAAATTTTTGTTAGTTTTTCTTTTTTCTTTTGTAACTGTTATGCACCTTCTCCACTCGTGTTCTGCCTCTAACCAGCCCCGTGGACCCCACAGAGATTGGGGACTTGACATTCTGCTCGGGAAAGTGTTGGGTGTTTGGATTCTTCTGAAGGACATCAGAAAAACACCAACATAAAAACGCCTTTGAGTACTGATATATCATAAATATATCAGTACAAATGCACCAATACCTCCCTAGCCATGCCTTTCTCTGGGAAGCTCCTGCATGCCTTTACCTCAACCAGGGACTGCCAAGGAGGAGTGAGCTTGTGTGGTCTCTTTCTGCAGGAGGACATGGGAATTTTTGCTTGTGTTTCTCCTCTGCGGTGTGTTCTGGTCCCACAGTCTCACTCAGTCCTATCAGCACCACGAAGTGCTGGTGAAAGATCCTGCTCAGGTCTCGGTGCCCCTTCTGATTCCAGTGGAATTGAAACAAGGGTGGCTTGGTGAGCTCAGAAACAGCTCATCCAAACCTGGACAAGACACCACCGACCTAAGCCAGGTGCTCGTTTTTCCGAAGGTCCTGTCTCACTCTGAAGTTTTAAAACGTTTGGGTCTGGGTACAAATTCACCTGCTTTATTTCCTCAACGTAAAATCAACCCCTCGACGAGACGCTGCAGGGAGCCTGGGCTCTCAGGGTTGTTCTCTGCACGCAGAGTGAAGGAGGGTTTGCCCCAAGGATCAGTTTTGGCCTCTAGAAGTCTTTAAAGCTTTATTAAAGCACATAGCAACCATCCTCTCAGGCACACGGTGTGACTCTTGGGGCTGGTCCTGTGCAGGGTTAAGAGTTGGACTCCATGATCCTCGTGGGTCCCTCCCAGCTCGGCATGTTCTGGGGTTCTGTGAGTGCACCATGAAAATCAGAAGGAGCAGCTCACTTTGGAGGGAAGTGACTGCCTCCTTTCTCCAGGGACCTCAACGAATGGACTCTTGGGTGTTTTATGTTGTATCAGTGTCTAGAAAAGGTTACTGAGCTGCTCCTTCCCGTGGCTTTCACCCTCTCTGCCGTGACTGTCACCTCAGAAGATCCAGCAACGCTTCCCCGCGCACGGACACCAGAACCAAGCCTGAAAACAGTTCAGTCTTATTCCCAGTATGGCCCTGCTCTGAGCAAACAGAGCTTGGTTTGCTCAGCTGGGAGAGCAGGAGGCTTTGGCAATGCTCAGTACCCCTGCTGGCCCCGTGTGTGGATGACACCCATCTGCTCTTTGGTAAACACAGCTCGGGGTCTCTCCACGCTCCTGTCAACACCTCTGGTTATTCTGTCTCCTTTGAAGACACTCATGTCTCCAGGCAGTTCCTCTCAGGCACATCATTTCCTTTTTTTT